TGCGTGTGTGTGTGTGAGAGAGAGAGAGAGAGAGAGAGGACAGAGTATGCATATATTTACCACGAAATATTGAGATCATCCACAAATAATGATCCATCGCTTGAATCATTTCAAACCGTTGATAAACTATTGATCTTGATCCTAAAAAAGAGTACAGTGTGACAGATTAAATACTGCCTTGTGGGACACCCTGATCCTGATTGTAATGATCAGACAGGGTTGAACCCACTCGGACTTGAAATTGCCTGTCTTTTATAGACTGTGATATAAAAAGAGGCAAACGGACTCTCAAACCAAAATCATGTAAATCCTTCAAAATGCCATGCTTCCAGGTCGTATCGTAATAAGCTTTCTAAAGATCAAAGAAAATTGATACAGCATGTTGTTTATTTACTATAGCATTTTTAACAAAGGATTCTAAACGTACCAAATGATCAATGGTACTACGATTTTTCCTGAAACCACATTGAATATTTGTTATAAGATTATTTCTTTCAAGATACCAAGTTAATCTGTTATTCACCATACGTCCCATGGTTTTACAGACACAGCTAGTTAGAGATATCGGTCTGTAATTCGACGGATCTGTATGATCCTTGCCAGGTTTTGGTATTGGGACTACAATGGCATTACGTCATGATGGAGGGAATTCTCCAGACGTCCATATCTAAAAGTGTCATCAGACATGGTTCAGGGAAGTGTTTCAGCAGCTGGTAATGTATATTATCATCACCCGCTGCAGTGTCATGAGCTTGCTCAAGAGCTGTATATAGCTCATGTAATGAAAACACTTCATTATAATCTTCACCGTTATTTGATTCGAAATTAAGTTTGATCTTTTCCTGTTGTTTCTGATATCTTTGAAACTCAGTGACATAATTTGCCGATGATGATTTTTTGGGAAGAGTGTCGCCAATTTTATTTGCAATTTTAGACTTGTCAGTAATTAAATTATCACCATCTTTAAGATGGTGAACAGAAGATTTTGAAACTTTGCCTTTAATTCTTTGAACTATGTTCCATACCTTAGACACTGGGACCGCCTCCGTGGTGTAGTGGTTAGAGCGTCCGCCCGGAGAGCGGAAGGTCGCGGGTTCGATCCCCGGCCGCGTCATACCAAAGGACGTTAAAATATGGTACTTGTTGGTCCCTGCCTGGCGCTCGGCATTAATGGGTACAACAAGGACTGGTCGACTCGGAGTCAGTATAACGTGTCTGAGTTGGGTATTCATGCTTCTCTGCGGCATGGTATCTCAGTGGGCTAGCACTATAAACAAGCTTCAGTCTGGGCTAGTACAAGCAGCCGCACATACACATACACACGCATGCACGTCGTCATATGAGCGAAATATTCTCAAGCACGACGTTAAACCCAATTTCACCTCATCTCACCTTAGACACTGGCGTGCGTGAATTAATTTTGGAGACATAATTTCTCCAAGACTGTCGTTTGCATGGATTATTTTTTATATTTATTTAACTTATAGAAAGTTGGATGATGGTGGAAATAATGCTCTGCCTTTTTCCTCGCTTTTCTGGCTTGTCTACAATCTGTAATAAACCATGGTTTTCGTACATGTGGAGTCGTAGCGGACTTTGGTATACACTTATCTGCTATTTCATTTAAAACGTCAGCAAAAGTTTGAATGGGATCAGTTATATCACTGAAACATTCAGGTCGCAGTTTCGATTTACAAATATTTTTTATATAAAGACCAGTTAGCCTTCGAAAAGATCCATCTTGTATACGATGGAGAATCAGATGGAGTATTTCTGAAAGGATTAGTTGGGAAGTTGACATTTCCACAAAGGTCATTATGAACAGACCAATCAAATTTATTTAGGAGGTTAAAATCTGCAAGAGACAAATCCAGAGAAGAATAAGTGCCAGTTGCAGGATGCAGATAGGTGCTTGAATCATCATTAAATATACACAGGTCATTATTGGAAATGAAATCTTCAAGTATTTTGCCTTTAGTATTAGTGTTAGTACTGCCCCAGAGTGGGTTGTGACCGTTTAGGTCACCCATAATAACACATGGTTTCGGAAGTTGATCATAGAGTGATTGAAGATCGGTCTGCTGAAGTGCAGATGAAGGCGGAATATACGGAGAGCATAATGTAAATGCTACACCCAGAGAAGTCGCACTGCAACAGCTTGGAGATTAGTGTTAAGTGTAATAGGGCTGTGAATAACATCCTGTCGTATAAGGCTAGTGGAACCTCCAGTGGCTCTATCACCTGGAGGGGAAAAATAATTATAGGCTTCAAACTGACGTCAGCTAAAATTGTCGGTCTGTTTCAGATACGTCTCTTGCAGACAGAACGCTGATGGTGCTAAATCCTGGATTAATAGCTGCATTTCATTAAAATTTGTCCGGAGTCCTCTACAGTTTCACTGCACGATATGTTTAGATAGACCTATCTTTTAAGTGGATTAATAGGGGATCTACCCCGCACCTTGTTCAAGGGCGATAAGCTATGTGCCCTAGAATGGACGTTTTCGGACACGTCCATGTCCTCAAGTGATCCGTATTTGTTATATAATTTGATTTTATCATCTGACCCTTTTTGGGCTCTGTCACTTTGTTTCTTCAACGAATCTGGCTTCGGTTTGCCTTTGTTTTGAACGATATGGAACAAAGTAAAAGAACAATTAACACAAGAAGTAAATGGAAAGAGAATTTGAAAGGTTTTTAAGTTTTGCTCCGGAAACGAGCACTACCACCATTTTCAGTCAAAGTCAAACTTGTTGCCATGCAAAGGTGGACATGCAAACGTTATTCTACTCAGAAATCCAGCAGACCTTTATATGTACCAAGTTTGGTGAAGAAACATTGAACTGTATTAAAGTTCTGCTCCGGAAAAAAGTACCAACACAATTTCAGTCGAGGCCATACTTGTTGCCATGGATATGCCCAAAAATATTTTATTAAGGCATCCAAAACTTCCAAAAGGCACCAGATCAACACCAGACCTATCTATGTGCCAAGCGTGATGAAGAAAAATCAAACGGTTTGTAAGTTTCGCTCCGGAAAAGAGCAACAACACATAATTCAGTCGTGGTCAAACCTGTTGTCATGGAAACGTTAAAGACATCAGAAATCCAGAACTACTGTTACAGTTTAGAAATTGCTGAGATGAAAGGCTTGTGTGTCCAATCAGCAAAATATAACACAAAATATAACAGAAACAAGCATATAATGTTCAATTATATATTGAATAACAAATAAACAAGTTTACAAGGAATGACAGTACAGATTTCCTTTACAATACAATTGCATCACAAATCTAAACTATTGGGTCACAAGTCTAAACTAGTAACTCAACCAAGTCTTGATATTTCCAGTAAACAGATGTACTGATTGACGATTGTTGACAGTTCAGTGTACACGAGGCCTCTTGATGTTAGCAGACAGATGAGCGTAAACATAAATAAAGTAGTAGTTCACAAATTTCAACAACCACCCCCTATACACCTGTTATGCCGTTCTGGAGTATTCCAACAAAACAACATGCCACACTACGACCAAATGACTAACAGCTTACACCATCGTACCGAGACCGGAAGCAAAACACGCTGCGGGGGATAATGATTGGTTAGACAGTAAGTTGATAAAGCCAGTGAGCTCACACAAGGAACATGGGTGGAATTCACAGGTGTACAAATCAAAGGAGGTAGTTAAGGCAGGAGATGTTTATACAGTTGATTGGGCCCTGTGGAAGAGTGCATCACGATATAAAGAAGCTGTTTTCCATACAGTGCATCTATATTGTACTTCCCAAGTTCTAAAATGCCTCTCAAAAAGATTGGTTTCCTATTGGTCAAACAAGAGCATTAGTTACATCCGATACTTTACTTCAAAGTTTGTTCCCTTTCTTAAGGTAACGGATGAAAATGTTTAGAACCAAACCCTTGTCATTCCAACGTTAATGTATTTCTAACACATACGAGGGGTGTTTCAAAAGTTTTCTTCCTCTATAACTAATATGCGATGTATATGAAAATTTGTATTTATTGGTTGGAGGCGCAAACGCCTAAAAACGTATAATCAGTCTAAATATGTCTCTCAGGTGAAATTTATCTCTATATTCCTAATTTGGAATAATTCAAAATGAACTTTCAGCCAATGATACTTAGTATCTTTGTATTTTGGCAATTTCAAATGACCAATGAACATTAGGAACCACGTGCCCATCTGGGTAATCCGAAATAATTGTCCTGCTTTAATGCGGTTTTCTATAAATCTGTAATTTAAACACATTGTTTTTACTGACCAAATACGTTAAGAAACTAATACAATTTCAGTTCAAAACAACGTAAGGGAGTACACCTGTACTAGTTCACTGCATAGTTTCGAACTGCAGAATCGGAAAATCCATACCATTTAGAAGCACCCATTAGATTTCCTAGAATTCAGAGAAGGGCCGTTTGCTAGAATGGGTTCAAGAGGCGTGTTCAGTAACAGTAACAATGCTGGGCGCTGAGCGGACATGTTATACCGTTTGAGTAATCACTGTGCAAACCCACGCGCGCGCTTGAAGTTTCTAAGGGGTAGGATTCACATGGCTTTTGCAAATAAGCGGGGACATATTTTGATGACTCGTTACCATCCGCCCCAAAAAAGAAGTAATATATAGGACCATGTTTCCTCCGTCCGTCACTAGTACTTCATTTCCAGACATATTTAGACGTGACAAAGAAATTTGATATGAAATGTCATATACTGGCGATGAGAGTACCGTATCTGCGACGCGAGTACCGATCCCTCGTCGAAGCAAGACACTAATAGACGTAGATATGGTCATCATGATTTTTTTTAAATCAGCTTCATCCCCAAATTTTCCCACATCCTTCTCAGTTAATTTCGCAGTTTACGCAGGTGCCTCCAATGTGGCCTTTTAAAACGCCCCAAATTGGAGCGGATTGATGTATCTGTAGCCAATTTATAAACGGCAATGATATTCGGAAGATAACTCCTCACGTACTAAATATTTACCTTCAACATCAGCTGTCTGAAGTAGTAGCAGGAAAATGTACAACATCTTGTCAATTGGACAAACACGTCAAACTATAAGAGTTAGTGCTTTCCTTATCTGTCGTTATCTCTTTTTAATTTGATGGCCTGGCATGTGACACAACATGTGATGGTAATGATCAAACCTTTATCATGTGTTTTATCATGTTTTGTTCCAGTTAATTTGCATGTAGGTGTCTGTTTACAGTTACAGCTAAACCTATGTTGATGTCTTAGATATGTGACTTGATGTCATACGAAATAGGCACAGACCGTTTTCCTATGACTGGCTTCTTTTGCGTGAGTGAATGCGTGAGTTTAGTTTAGCTTTACGATGCAGTAAGCAATATTCCAGCTATATGACTGCGGTCTGTCAATAATCGAGTCTGGACCATACACTCCAGTGATCAACAGCATGAGCATCGATCTACGTAATTGGAATACGACGACATGTGTCAACTACGTTTGAGAGCCTGACCACCCGATCCCGTTAGTCACCTCTTACGACAAGTAAAAGGTCAATTCTAACCCGGTTCTTCACGGGCATTTTGCACGACCCATGTACCGCGTGTACGTGCAGTGTGTTGAGGAGAAGAGCAATAATGCGACCTTCGCTTTGATGAGTGAGAGGATAAATTAACGTCTCAAAGTCACTTTGTTAGCATTCCGTTGCATTGCACATAGCATGACTATCAAAGCTATGAACTCATAATCATAAACCTAACGATACGAATATATACTCACATCGCTCTCCTGTTGCAGTCTGCCCTGACATGCAACATCTGGGTAAATTTTGGGTCCCGACATATTTTAGTTCCATCTAAGACAATTTTTGCCAGTTTACATGCGACAAGGGCATTTATAACTATGATCACGCTGAATTTCCTGCATTCCTGATAACTCTGATCGAACCCAACGTACACCATGTTACATACTGACCATTATTTCTATCTCAGTGAATGTAAGTCACAGTACCATACACATCCCCGGTATTATGTTGCATGTACTACAGCAGCGGCTGCATGTTGTCCTGATGGATGGGTTCACTATCATCACATCACACAGACACTGGAATGAAGCAGCAGTTTGTAGCATAATTTCTTCCACTCTTGCACGATACTCATAGAAACGGACATATATACTATTCGGTTATGTTTTCATGTGCTGATGTATGTATGTATGTGTATGTATACTGTAATCATTTACATTACTTTGATATACGTCAGCGATACTCAAACATACAGAAAACAATATTGTGTGCTTCTGATAATATCAGATAGAGTCTATTAAATAAGTGATAATTTCATTTGTCTCGCCAGAAACTTGAACCTTGAAGTTCTTAACATTGTAGATAGGCTTGAGTGACATGCCAGATGGCAATGGATCCCTCACGGGGAAATCGCCTTCACAGACTCGACAGCCAGGGCAGCCTGGCCACCATGAGGCCAATTCTAGCTTTTAAAATCTTAAATTTATTCAAATAGAGGACCATCGGATGCCAACGGAAATAATGATCAACCTTTGTTTGTGCCTTCCTAGCTTGTTTGCAGTCATCGTTAAACAAATGGTTTTCATATGTGAGGATTTGTGGATTTCCATGCGGGTATAGCTATGTGTGGCATTGGAATTCAGTCACATCCATCACAGTGAACGGGCGACCACTGTTATTACATGATTTGCATGTATAGAGTCCCTTGAACAGAATGAAATAAGATGCTTGAAAAAGAGGTATTAAATCAGAACATCGACGTTTCATGATATGCTCCCCAAAAGGATGATGGTACTTCATCACAACCATACATGGTAACATGAGATGCCTAGGTGGCACATATGTGTTGAAAGGCAGTCACAAACTGAGAAGCCGGTATTTCAAGACGGATGTTTCGAGAAGGGAAAACAGATCCTCCAGCTGTCCAATCACAGCTTGTACAGACGCATATCCTGACGTATTTAGTTTTCTCAAGATATCAGTATATGTTTCCCCTTTACCACAACCTATCGATAACAAAACGCAGGGCACATATATGTATATACTTGCTTTGCTTACCTTTCTGAATCACGTTAAAGAAAATCATTAAAAGTTGTATCTATTTTTTTTACATTATTTACTTCTGACATGAAACAGAAGTGCGAGTAATAGTCTTATCGTGGATGAATTGTTTTTACACATAATATCCATGTGAGAAATCGATCTCATGTCTTCGATTGAACGCTTTAACCACTCATTATAGCATTTTGATGTAACTTTAAGGTTTGAATCTACTGCTCACTAACAAGAGGCAACTGATCAACAATGAAATTGAGGCCACTGATCAACAATGAAATTGAAAATCGCTTGCATTGGACGAAGTCTTTTCCCAGATTTACGAAAGCATATAAATAATGAAGCCATTGGAAGCTAAACTCTCTTCCCAATATGCGTGTATTTACATAGTTGGTATGAAATCCAAGAAATATATAAAACCATGTGGACATAGAGCATTTACGGTACATGTCAATACATTTGATGCCGAACAATTATCATGGATAAAACAGAGAACAGTGTGAATGACAGAAATAACCAGCAAAGGCTTTTAATGTGTTCACCGATTTCAGCTTGGTACCCGGGTTTATCCAACAAGGGGAGGAGATTGCATCCTAAAACGAAAATAGATACTACATTGCATGGACGTGATTGTATCTTGAAATGATCTAGGAAAGAAAAGGATCACCATCTATAGCTACGCCCTGCATATTACTAGTGTCACAAACTGGTCGATTAATAAATGGCTGCACTTTGTGTAATTTAGGGGTCCTCAACAGGAACAGCTTTACAAGTTATGAAACAACTTAATGGGTACACGTCCGGTGACCTGGTTTATTGTGTGTGTCCTATAGTGTGTCCTTCATTCAACAGTGTGTGGAACGTTCCTCCTTGTATCAGCCACTGAACTGGTTGAGTATTTACAAGCCAATGCCGCAACTGAAGCATGGCGGTGTCACGCAAAATTAAACAAAACATATTATTTATACTCTGTGTATCGTATCCTAATAGAGTTGTTAAATTAGAGTAACACTGAGCTCCTCTACTTGTACACGGGTGCATGCCCCAACAACACAGCACATTATACATACGCCTTCTCGCATATAAAGTTTTGAAGTAAGTTGCATCCGTAATCCGACCACGAATAGCCTCCTGGTGCCCAGAGAATACCGCAGTTGGAATTGGCCTCATGACGGTCAGGCTCCCCCGGTGTCCAGTCTGTGAAAGATAACGGTTTCCCCTGTGGGGTCCATTGCCAGGAACCTACCATGTCCGTCAAGCCTATCCACGATGTCAAGGAGGCACCGGAATCTGGGGAGACAAATGTAATGGTCGCTTTGGTAAATGGACAAAGTATTTTTCGCAGTACCCTTGCTGAGTACATTAAAGTATAATTGTGAATTAAAGTCGTTAATTACGTTTTACTGTTTCATAGCTATAGGGATATCCATTACTTGCAAACTTCTTCAAATAGTTCTTGATGAAGTCGTTTTCGGCCTTTGTTTCAATATGTATCAGGTGTGCTCCGTAGATGCCACAATCCGTCTATCAAAAACAAACAAAACTGAAGAGCTTCGCGAGTATGTTTGGTAAATTGAGTATATTCACAGTTGACTGAAAACAAGAACCAACCACAGAAAGCAAAAAGTATAAATCATTCCTGGAAAATCATTCACATAAACGAATAGGAAATCGTTTCATTTAATTTTGCATCGTTTAAGAGTGTAAACGTGCTATATGAATATCTCAGATACCAACTGCTGCTTTAGTCCAGTCTCTCTGTGATGTGATGATGATGTAGCAGGAGCCTCCATACTGCACCCATCCATCTGGACAGCATGCAACCGCTGCTGCAGCACCTGCAGTAATTTACAGGGAGTGTGTATGATACAGTGACACTAGTATTGTACCAGGCGCGCATGTATAAACTTACAGTCACTGAATAAGAAATCATAACCGTTTTGCAACATGGTACCCGTGAAGCTGGATGCATCCTTTTTGTTTGGGTAAAGTTCGTTGCCACAGCACATTTGATGGCGTTTTGTTAATTTAACCAGAGGTGTCTCAATTTCATTAAAATTTGAACTTCTAACACTACAAAAACACCATAAACTTTCCCTCTCGTATCACTTTCAAATTCAAAACTAGTCTGGACTGACCAAATTACCAACCAGTACTATTCATTGTGATAATTGGTCACTGTTTGAGTATTAACATGATTAGTTAATCGTAAATCAACCTCATATTGAAGATCTACTCAAAACGTATCCTCGGAAGAATCTGTTAAAAATCATTTTTAGATAAAATATACGTTCATAGAAGTCCCTTTCGTATTCACAACATATACTCATGGACAAAAATAAGGGAACGCATATTTCTTAGAACAAAGGGGAATTTCATTGAACTATGCTTACTGGTGTGTTGCCGTTACCATGAAAAGCATTGCGCCGAAACTCACCAATTTGGTTTACTTGCACGTGCATTACGTGTTCCTGAAGTCATGGGCATTTTGGATTAATGCATTACATGCATGTGCGCTGTCAAACACGCAGCTTAAAATCAGCGTTAACATGGCGAGACAGTACTTGACTTTGGCACAAAAATGGGAAGCAGTTGGTATGGTTAAGAGTGGAAGCTCATTATATCAGGTTACCACGACATTTCAGAAGTCTGTAAGCGTAATGCCCATGCTTTGGAACCTGTACCGGTATAAACAGACTGGGGATGTCAAAATGAGACGTGGTCGAAGACGGAAATCCAAAAATACCCCTCGGGATGACCGGACCCTACGCCTTATTGCCTTACGAGCTAGGTTTAAATCAAGGACAAACGTTGGAATTTGTTCCCGTACTGTACGGAATCGCCTTAAATTAGTTAGTCTAAAGAATCGTCGTCCTATCGCTGGAATCAACATATTGAGCAGCACAAGCGCTTAAGACTGCAGTGGGCACACAAACATGGTGGAAGAACCTTACGCCAATGGAGACACACCGTGTTTAGCGTGAAAGGAGGTACACATTCGACCATAATGACGGACGAATCCGGGTTTGGAGACCACATTGGTGAAGGTTTCAGTGCCTACACCATTAAACAGCATGGTGGTTATGGATGGGGTTCTGTGATGGTATGGGGCGGGATCACCGTTGACAACAGAAAAGATCCTATTCGTGTTGATGGGGGGATGACAGGTGTACGCTATCGTGACAAAATTTTAATCCGATTGTCATCCCATTTGCGCGTACGGTAGGAAGAATGTTTGAGTTTCAACAAGACAATGCCCGCCCTCATATCGCCCATGTTTGTAGGGACAGACTGAGGGCTGCAAACACCTGAACGACCTATGTGGCCTAACAACTTGGATGAACTTTCCCGGACTCGACAAGAATCCCCATTGGTACCATTCGTAAACTCATACGGAGCATGCCAGGACGATGCCAAGCAGTTTTCCACAAACATGGGGGACACGCCCGATATTGAAAATGATCGCTAGAGGCAAACATTTTCATCTGTGTGAACTTTTCTCTTACCTCAAAATATATTAAAATGACAATCAATTCATGCGTTCCCTTATATTTTTTCTATGAATATATAACTAACCTGTATGCAAAATTGAAAGCAGGAAAATCCCCGTTATCATGTTTAGGAATGCCGTCGTCGCATGTAAACTAGCAAAAGTCGTCTTAGCTTATATCTTAGGATGTGTGAACTATCATATGTTGGGACTGAAATTAGAAAGACTGCTCACAGGTGTTGTTTCAATTCAGGGCTGAATGCACGTTCGGTGTATGCAAGGCAGGCTGTGGTGGAAGAACAATGCAGTTACTTGAGACATCTATTTGACACGCAGTCTATCGGATCTGCTGATTAGATACTACACACTTTTACAGGTGCAACAATTGCAATGAGTGAGTGAGTGAGTTTGATTTTACGCTGCTTTTAACAATATTCCAACAATATTACGGTGGGGGACACCAGAAATGAGCTTTACACATTGTACCCATGTGGGAATCGCACCCGGGCCTTCGGCGTGACGAGCGAACGCTATAACGACGTGGCAACCCCACCGCCCCTACACAATCACAGCGAAGCTACATACAGCCACCTTGATTGAGCAAATGCATCTTACACGTTATCAGGTTTATGTTTTGACGATAAAACATAACTTGGTTTACCTACCATTAATTAAAATGTGTAGCAGTATTTTTGTGTGTAACCCACATGTACGTCTTTGTGTTGTCAAAGAAAAAGAACACGATGGTGGGTCTGGGTCGATGACAGGAATACCAATAGCGAAATTGAGACAAAATTTACATGTATCGTAAGGAGTTATCTACTTGGAGGAGTGTATTGTCCAACATAAAAAAATGAGCACTATCCTTTATATCTGCCACTATACACACAACGAACTGTCAGTGTCACATGTCTGCCGTGGGTTGCGCCCCTGTGTCGGTGGAGGAAGGGGTCTGTTGGTTGAGGGCACTGGTTCCAGGAATAGCGTTCCTTTGCCCAACACACCACTTCGCCCCTTACTTCACCTAGACGGGTGGTAGAATGGGCCCGATTATACCAATCGGCTGGTCATATCGAGTCCTGTGCATTACTTGTATTAGCACAAATTCTATTATGAACTACATTTTTTACTTTATGTCTTGGCTCTTTTGGTTTGTAATATATAAACTGGTTTTGAAATATATCCTATTTAAAATGCCTAGAGTCTTATGCCCAGAAGGCGATGGCTCATGGGCCAATCTGGTGGATTGATTAATTTTCAATCAATCTTCTTCTGGAGTATACCATCTCAGTTTCCCTGGTCATGCCAGTCGGAGACCCACTGGTATATAGCATTGTCCTTGTGATACTCCGTGGTGGGTGGGGAGCTGGGATTGTGAACCTTCTCAAATTAACCATGGCTCAACCAAAAAAACATAAACGTGCATTAGATAAAATGCTCATTCTCTGATGAGGACTCTACCACAAACAAACCTCTTGATACTTGGAGCAGATTTCTAGTAGTATCGTCTACTGATGGTGGACCTCTTAAATTAAATCCTTTTGCGACATCCAAAGCAATTTATGGAATTGTTGGGGATGTTCAAACTGTCCAAAAGATCAGATCCGGCTACCTTTTGATCGAATGTAAAATCGCAAAGCAATCTGCCACTCTTCTAGCAACAAGACACCTCGCCAATGTTGACGTCACAGTTTCTCCTCACAAATCCCTAAACAGCAGTAAAGGCATCATTAGAGACAGGGACCGATGGCTCTATGATATGAGTGAGGCTGAAATAGAAACCGAACTTCAAAGTCAAGGTGTCACGAATGTGAAACGTTTCACAGCCAAGAGAAATGGTGAAATTATAAAAACAAATACATACTTGCTTTCTTTTTCTCAACCCAAACATCCAAAATGTATCAAAGCTGGATATTGTATCATCGAAGTGGAACAGTATATACCGAATCCACTTCGATGCTACAAGTGCCAAAAGTTTGGCCATGGTGCCCAATCTTGCAGGAATCCCATCACTTGCTACCGGTGTGGTGAAGCTGCACATGACGGATCTGATTGTCTCACATCTCCAAAATGTGTGAACTGCCATGGAGAACACATGTCTTCATCCAAGTCCTGTCCTATCTCGAAACGTGAGTATGAAATAGTCAAAGTTAAAGTACAAAAGAATATAACATACCAGGAAGCAAAACTTTTATTCAATGCAGCCACGTCATCGACAGGTATGTCATACTCAGCAGCTGTCACACACCCTCTTTCTAAAAACGTCAAGTCTGTTGACTGTCAGACTGATATTACGTGAGTAAAAACAGAAAAGTACACTGTTTCCAAACCATCTACTAATAGAAAAGAGACATCACAGTCACAGACTGATCCACCATCAATAGTTTCATCTCTTATTGTGAAAAAATGCAAGCCAGAATGTAGATTACACCCAAAAATCTGATCGATTACAAAAGGGTTCACGAGACCCAGTACAAATTTTCAACAAATTTCAGATGCTGGAAGATATGGATGTCTCCCCTCATCCTCGTGCACACGACAGAAGTAAGTCGCCTCTGACTAGGAAAAGTAGATCCCCAGTACTTCCACCATCAAATTAAGTCATAACTCTTTAATTCAGTGGAATTGCAGAGGTCTGAAAAATAATTTCAATGAAATACAATTACTGATACAGGACTTTCGACCGTCAGCGTTATGTCTTCAGGAGACATATCCAAAATCTACAGACACTTTTAATTTACGACAATATAGTGGTTATCACTGTTTCTCTCCTCAAGGTGATAAAGCAACTGGAGGTGCTTCTATTTTGGTAAGGCAGGGTATTACCCATAGCTCTGTTCCACATAAGACCAATCTTCAGGCTGTAGCGCTTCGTCTGACTTTACACATTGCGTTAACACTGTGTAGTTTGTATATCCCTCCTTCTTCCACTATTCAACAGTCAGATCTTCAAAACCTGTATGATCAACTTCCGAAGGCATGTCTAATCATGGGCGATCTCAACGGACACAACCCGCTTTGGGGAAGTAACCATACAAATAATAAAAATAAAATCCTTGAAGGATTCAGTTTAGATAATAACCTATGCATATTTAATGACGATACAAGCACCTATTTACATTCAGCTACGGGCACATATTCTTCCTTGTATTTGTCACTTGCTGACTCCATCTTGTATTATGAATTTGAATGGATGGTCCATGAAGACCTATGTGGGAGTGATCACTTCCCCACCATTCTCAAAACAATCAGCACTGGTGATGATCCTCCTTTATCAAGAAGGAACTTTGCCAGGGCTGATTGGTCATTAAATAAGACTCTATGTGTTGAGCACTTAAAACATGACCTTTTCAGGAACAGTGAAGATTATATACAGTCGTTTTCCGAAGTACTCAATGACATTGCTGACCACACTATACCGAAGTCCTCTGCAATTCCACATATTCGTAAACCATGGTTTACTAATGCGTGTGAACAGGCTAGAAAGTGTAGGAAAAAACCTGAAAAGTTTTTTCGCAAACATCCTACAGTCCATAATTTAGATAAAGTAAAAAATTTAAATGCCAAGACTCGACGCACTTTTAAACAGACTAAGCGTCAGTCTTGGAGGAACTATGTTTCCAAAATTAATTCACGTACACCTATTTCAAAGGTGTGGAACATGATTAAACGAATAAAGGGCAAAGGTTCCAAATCTACTGTCAACCATCTGAAGGATGCTGACAATTTATTAACTGATATGTCTGACATTGCCAATAAGCTTGGTGAAACTCTCGCCAAACATTCTTCTTCGTCAAATTATGTCCCAGAGTTTCAAAAATATCAGAAACAACAGGAGAAGAAGATAATACATTTTAACTCAGACTGAGGGGCTGATCATATACACTATCAGCTCTTGAAACATTTTCCTGAATCCTGTTTAGAAATCCTTTTAGAAATTTTTGATCAAATAACGACTTCAGGGAATTTCCAACCTTCGTGGCGTAATGCCGTTGCTGTCCCTATTCCAAAGCCTGACCGGGATCATACAGATCCATCCAACTACAGACCAATCTCTTTAACGAGTTGTGTTTGTAAAACCATGGAACGAATGGTAAACAATAGATTAACATGGTATCTTGAAACGAATAACCTTATTTCAAATATTCAATGTGGTTTCAGGAAAAATCGTAGTACCATTGATTGTTTGGTACGACTAGAATCCTTTGTTAAAAATGCAATAGTAAATAAACAACATGCCGTATCGATATTCTTTGATCTCGAGAAAGCGTACGATGCCACCTGGAAGCATGGTATTTGGAAGGATTTAAATGATTTTGGTTTAAGGGGTCGTTTACCTCTTTTTATCACAGTTTTTATCAGACAGACAATTTCAAGTCCGAGTAGGTTCAACCCTGTCTGACCATTACAATAAGGATCGCGGTGTCCCCCAAGGAAGTATTTTGTCTGTCACTTTATTTAGCATTAAGATCAACAGTTTATCCAAGGTTTAAACGATTCAATCGAAGGATCACTTTTGTGGATGATTTTAATATTTCTTGTTGCGGTAACAATATGCATACTATTGAACGGCAACTGCAGTTGTGTTTAAACAAAATAAATAAATGGTGCCTTGAAAACAGCTCTAAATCTTCTAAGTCAAAAACTAATTGTCTACACTTTTGTAGAAAATATAAGCCTCATAAGGACCCAGAACTATCTTTAAATGGCACTCCCATCAAAGTTGTAAAGGAGGCCAAGTTCTTGGGCCTAATTTTCGACTCCCATTTAACTTTTCTTCCCCATATCAACTATCTCAAAAATAAATGCCTGAAGGCACTTGACTTGTTGAAAGTCGTTTCCAATTCTAAGTGGGGAAGGGATCAAACTACCCTCCTACATCTATACCGATCACTGGTCCGTTCGAAGGTTGATTACGGCTCCAGTGTCGAATTCTTGATTCTGTCCACCATCAAGGTCTAAGACTATGTCTTGGATCCTTCAGAACTTCTCCTGTTGACAGTCTCTGTGTTGAGACCGATGAACCATCTCTTACACAACGCCGTATAAAGTTATCATTGCAGAATATAACAAAACTGTATTCTAACGAGTCTAACCCTGCATTTAACTGTGTTTTCAACCCTCTTTATGAGGACCTGTACAACAAAA